TTGTGTGTGTTCGTCTATCCGGGTATTTCAGCTCGCCAATGTGTTCTCCAGCCAAGTGCCACCCCAGAACCGCGGTATCAGCCCTCATGCACGTCTGGGCCCGCGTACGAGCACGTGAAGTCTTGGCGGGAAAACTAATAACTCGGGAACGAGAAAAGCTGGAATGCTGGAACCTTCGGGGAATGTTCCTTGCCCGTGTATAACAGAAAGATTTCAAATTAGCTGCCCAGGACTGCCCGGTGCCTACGTACGGGCACATGAAAATTATGGCGGAAAAATTCATAACTCGAGAATGAGAAAAGCTAGAAAGTTGAATCACTGAAGGAATGTTTCCTACTCACGCACAACCAAAAGTTTTCAAAATCAGCTCCTTGGGTCAGCCTAGGGCCCATGTACGAGGACATGGAAATTATGGCGGGAAAATTCATAACTCGAGAATGAGAAAAGCTAGAAAGCTGAAATTTTACGGGAATGTTCCTTACTCATGCGCAACCAAAACCAGTTGTTTGGAGGCGCCCGAGATCCACGTACGCTACATGTGAAAGTTTTGGCGCAAAAATTATTAACCCGGGAACGGGAAAAGATGAAAAGCTGAAACTTTCGGGAAATGTTCCCCACTCATGCACGAGCAAAGTCAGGTGTTTAAAAGCGCCCGAGTCCAAGTACAAGCACGTGGAAATTCTGGCGCGAAAATTACTAACCTAGAGACGGGAAAAGCCAGAAAGCTGAAACTTTTGGAGAATGTTTCCTATTCATGTACGACCGAATCAGGTGCTTAGAAGCACCCTGGGCCAACGTACGGGTACATGGAAATTTCGGTGCTAAAATTACTAACCCGGGAACGAAAAAAGCTAGAAAGCTGAAATCTTAGGGCGATGTTCCCTGCTCATGTGTGATCAAAAGATTTCAAATTTAACTCCTCTAGTGCAGCTTTTTTTGCGGACCAGCAACTTTCCATTTGTCAGATCATTGAAATCGACATCTACAATTGACATACCAAAGAGATGCACAATTAACTTCCCGAACTTCGACGGCCAGTATGTCACAGGGTTTGCTACTGCGATTCCTTTCGATCTTGCTACGGCACGAAAAGTGCAAAAACGAATAATCGCACCCGCCCGCTTGATGCGTTCCAGCTTGGGTTTTACGTGTCGAGTGTTATGACTTCTGGCTTCTTTCCTCGTGCACAATCATTTTGCGGAGTTGATCCACTTATTTTGATCTGAGAAAACCGTTTTCTAATTATTTCCCAGTTCGGAGGCGCACACGAGTACTTTCGTTCATTCTGCATCGATCACTTATCTACTGCTAACTATTTTATTTTAAAAATGATTAGATACAGGCCCTTTTACGTTTTGAACCAAAGTATGGATAGCTGAAAAAAACTGAAGATCCATATTTGTAGGTGGCTGAAAAAGCCCATACTTTTTTGTATAGGTCCGTTTCATGGCTCCTTCGCTTACAAGCATAAACCAATGCCTACTTATTCAGTGTATCTTTCTTGATAATTATTCGAAAGCAATTCATTCATCGTTAAAACCAAAGTGAAAGTATTATCACTGCAGCACTGAGTAACACGTTTCGGCGTCTTATGCGACAAGTCCACATACTTATGCGTGTCTTTACAAGCTACAGCAAAACATTTCGTGTTTTTGGAACACAGTGAGCATAAATTTCATCCAGAACTGTAATAGTGGTGGCAAGCGGAAAGAGAAAAACCAATCGGAATGAACAAAAAATATCGAGTACCTCCAGCGAGAAAGAAAAAGCCCCGCGGCTTTTATTTACAAGCATTAATACAATGCACTCATCGTGATTTATCACCACACTGAGTGCGCTGTTGCACTGGTATCATAAAAAATTTGTAAATTGCCCATGAAAATGCAATTTCACTGAAATACATTTGGGCGAGATGAGTCTGCTCTATCCTGTTGTTATGTCCTGTTTTTTATTGCCAACGCAAATATGCAATGTGTACATGCGAAGATTGCGGACAAACAACAGTAAAAAAATGTGAAATACCTCTTTTCGTGTTACCTTAAAGAAGTGCATCCCGGCTAGAGGACTTACGCGGGAGTTTTAAAGGCGTAGTCAGATGCAAGAGAAATCAGGATAAAGAAAAAGGCGAGAATTTGTTCGGGCCGAACAATGCCACACATTTATGAAATTTCCACATCACCTT